TGAATTTCCAATTTAGATTGCTTAACTTATTAACATTTTTCTGTTTATAAAAATGCTAGGTTATCAGTAAAAAAAGATTTAAAATGTATAGAGAAAAATAAAACTATCTGTAATTCTACCACCCAACATATGGAAATAATCTGTTAATATTTTTGTACTTCCATCTATTTATTCTCTGCATTTTTAACATACTTGAAATCATACAATATAAAATTTAGTGTTCTGCTTTTTTTAACTTAATATTATGGCTATTAAAATGCTATAGAAGATTCATTTTATCATTTCCCTACTGGTTTGACACATCCGTTGTTTTTTAATTTTTAATATTCTAAAAACACAACATGAAAAACATTTATTTGTGCATAAATCTTTTTCTGCATTTAGGACATATATTTAAATGTATATTCTTACCAGATTCTCCAGCACTAAAATGATCAAGTGGATTCCCTTCAGCGTCCGGGTTTAATAACATCATTTCAAATGATATATCTTCCACCTGAGAATTCTCATTGTCATCTTTGCATGTATACTTGTCTGCATAAAACACGTACCACATTTGTGGATACGGAATCTGGGACACTGTCAGATTATGTTCAGTCTGATTCATGGTCACTTTAAAGAGAAAGAAAATAGCACTTTCAAAGCAAAACTCTCAAATGTATTCATTGTGTTAGTCCTATAATCAATTTGAAGTTAAAATGCTCTTGTTGAGTTCCTATTGCCTTAGAAATCCAAACCCTGTTGTAGTATAGGTATATGGTCTATAAATCACAAAGCAGATAAAAATAACGTATCTTAACTAAAGGGATCACTACAAAAGTGCTATGAAACACCACAAATGAGTAAAATGGTTTCACTGAAACTATGAATTTGAATTTTAAATATTTTTTTGAAAATTTTCAAGTGGATTAGTGACATCAAATTTTTTTTTTCATTGTGGTAAGATATACACAACACAAAAGTTACCATTTTAATACTTTTTTAAGTGTTCAGTTCTGTGGCATTAAGTACGTTCACATTGCTGTGTAACCACCACAGTGACATTTTTGAAAGTTACTTCTTTGAATTAAATTTAAAATGGGGTATTCAACTTAGGAATTCACATCTAAAAACTATGACAAATGCTTTCAAAAGATTTTCCAAAACCTTTTCCTGATTGGTAATTCTTTTAAAAAGTAGAAAAGTAGAAACTATAGGGATATAAGAGTTATACTGCGTTAGGTCTACATAGGGGTGCGGAGAGGGGACTCATGAACATTGGCCTCACACAGATCACTGCTTGAATCCTGGCTCCAATACTTACCTTCTAGGTGACCTTGGGCAAGTTACATAAGCAATGACACTCACTTTCTTCATCTGTAAAATGAAGATAATACTGAGAGCACAGAGCTGATGCAAGGACTAAGTTATATGAGTCACTTTGCATAGTATCTGTCATATATCACTTGCTGAATAAAGATTAATTCTCCTTTTCCTTTCTTTAAAACAAAGTGGTTACACAATAAGTGGTTCTCAATCCAGGGCAATCCTGTTGCCTTCCGGGGCATTTGAAAATGCGTGGGGACAGTTTTGTTGTCACAGTAGTTGAGAAGATACTTGGAGGGTGCTGTGCTAAGCCTCATGCAATTCAAGGTCAAGTCACACACAATAAAGACCTTCCCCGACCAAAATGCCAGTAGTAACTCCTCCTTTGTGAAACACTCAATGTCTAAAATCCCTTCTCAATTTGAAACTAAGAGGTACTCGCTAATACTATCACAGAGTTATAGGAGAGTAGTGCCTCAAATACTATGCATAATAAAGAGTAGATGACTTAAAGGAGCAAGTCTTAGCCCTACTACTTACTAACCTTATGAGTCAGCAAATAACTTAACCTCTCTAAATTTTTCAGTAGTAAAATTAAGATACCTGCCCTATCTAGCTCAGATTCTTGTGAGAAGCACATGAGACAGTGTATGAAAATCTTATGTAGAGTCTGATTCTGTACAAAGTCAAGTATTCTTAAAAGATTATGATGGGCTCGATTCCCAAATCTAGACTGCCCTCACAGAATCCCAACTAGTCTTGATCCTTTTCTCAACTGAAGAAAAAACTTTCTCATAAATAAAAAGACATGTCTTAACTGGACATTTGCATATGGAAGAGATTTTAGAGGACATTATGAAATTATTCATTTTCTTAGATGTAAAATGGTATCGTGGCTAGGGAGAAGAATATCCTTATTCTTACAAGATTAAGGCTGAAATGTGGTGGGTCGAACTGCTCATGACACCCACAGCTTATTTTCATAAGGCTCCATTAAAAACAAAAATCACCACATTTAAATATAAAGCAAATGTAACAAAATATTAACAATTATTGAATCTAAGGCAAGGATATATACTTTCAAAGATACATACTTTTCAAGTTGGTTATACTATACTTTCAACTTTTCTGTATGATTGAAAATTTTCCTAATAAGAAGTTGGGAAAATATTATTTATAGGTTGTCTTTATAAATGAGATACAGATGTATCTAGTCAGAATTTTGAGTACTTGGCCTTTACAATTGGGAATTTCATTAACTGCAGTTAAACTGGACAAGATGATTTTATCAACAATACCACTGCACTGTTTTGTTTTGTTTTTTTACTCTCTTAATTTAGCTGACATTTATACTGTTTTCTTTACTACATAGCTTCTAGAAAAATGTAACAAAAACTCTAATTTCTGTTAAATATTTAAAGACCTTTAATAAGATTTCAATATGTAATCAATAAGTGACTCAAAAATAAGGCCTTTGAAAGGTGCAGCTTGCAATTACATAATCTGAACCTCATTATATAAAGGCTCTGCGATGTTGTTGTTCTATCACTTGCACTTCTTCCTCTTACATAAAACAATATAAAAATTAACCATTATATTTTCACCAATATAGTTTTTAATGTCTCATTTTAAATTGTGCTGATTTATATCAAATTAAAACAAGTGTGGGTTTCATAAAGCGATAGTGCCTTTAGTTTTTGTCTTGCTGCCATTTCAGCAGGCCTGGGAAACAAGCCTCTTGACAAAACTGTGTGTTCATTGTTTTTGAGACAAAAGAGCATATACAGCACAGCATGCATATTCTATGCTGATGTAATTAGTACCTCAAATATTAACAAAACTTGAATTGTAGAGAATGGTGTTGAACAGCTAATTATTCAATCATATTATAAAAGGAAGTGACTATTGTTAACAAAAATACACAGAATAATAACGTACTAACACCTTTAAATGACTTATAAACATACCAAACATACAAAAGGAAATATACACATATGTCAAAAACATCACTGTATACATGTTTTATATACAAAATTATATTTAGCTCTTGTAATCTCACAGCAAATTACTCTGAATCTCCTCGTTAATTTTTTTTACACAGAAACTTATTTTCAGTGCTTTTAAATATCTTGTTTGCTTGCTTTAAAAACCTACAAAATAGTTTCTATCATATTTTTACAGCCGATGTTTTATACATTACTGAAAGAGAACAAAGGAAGACTGAAAAATAATTTCTCAAACATTAATTTGGAAGAATGTATACTCACAAGCCACATTTGACACGAGGGATTTTCCAAATCTAAAAGTCTTTTCATAGTTCACAGTAGCAGTAAGGTTTTACATAGGCATTAGGCATAGTTAATGAGCTCATTACCAAGTAGGTGAAAGGCTATTAATTCTTAAAAGTCCCATTAGTGGCCAGGAAATGAGAATTATTTCTACAAAGACTTATTTAAAAATATGTGATAATACTACACTGTCATGAATTTAAAGATATGCTTTTTGTTTCAGTGAACTAAAGCTCCTAAATAATAAAATACTCTAAATATGACAATTAATATACAAAAGTTAGAGAATATAGATTTTCTTAAGACTTGGCTTTTGTTATTGGAAAAATAATTGATGAAATATGTGGAAAGCGATATGTATCTCACCAGTACTTAATTTATCTCAGGCCCTCAAATTTAACAAAACAATCTTCTTCTTCAAAAGTTTGTGTCCCCTGAGATCTTCCATCCCAACAATTTCAAAGAATACCCTTGCACTCGAGAGAATAGTAAAGAGGAAAATAGACAAAGAAACAACAGCAAGAGGTTTGATAAGTTATAGCCATATATATATATATATATATATATATATATATATATCCTAAAGAGTT